AATTGTATGTATACAAAAAATAGAAAATTAACAAAAAAAAATTTCCAACTTTTCTATGACTATCAAAAAAAAAAAAACCATCAAGACGAAGAAAAACATATTTTGGGTAAATCCTGTTATGTAATAAATTGATTAAAAAAGTTTGCCATTATCGACTAAAAGAGAATTAAAATCAATTTTTCTAGTACCGACCTAGGATTTTCAAGCAATTTTTATAATAAATCTATATTATAAGTGGCAAAAGCATCTCATGAAAGCTATACAATAAAGTCTATAAAATGTTTCTAAAAGTTATTACATGTGCAGTTGAACGTAATTTTATTGTATAGCTCTAATGAGACGCTTTTGCCACTTGCTCAGTTAAGAGAATTTTAATAACATAGTAATATTCTATTAGCAAAAGCTCTAATGCAGCAAATGTTACAAACGAAGAAATGCTGATCAAGTTACGAATATTTTGTAAAACACTAAAATTTTGCATTCATTTCGAAATATTTATTCTATTTTGGATTAGTATCAAGAATTCAGAATACATGTAAATTGATTTTAAGAAAATTTAACACTTAATATCAGATTTATCAATATCAGTGAATTAAAATAAATATAAAAAACCTGTCTACATTATTTACATATCTATATAGCATAACAAGACAAGATAACCATAATATTGTTATTTATTAAAATTACTTAATCCATAGTCCTAATTTTGTTTCTCTACTGAAATGCGAATTTCTCAAATCCATTTATATATTTAAAGAATAAATCGGCTTTATAAACCAAAACGTTACTGCTGTAAATATCGTAAGTATATACGATATTATTTTTTAAATAAATAATACTTCTTATGAGACTCATAGTAGCAGCGAAAAAATTTTCAGTCAAAATTAAATTTTTGTCATTTTTAATACGTAATAGAATTCCTTGAAATTCCACATTTTCACATAAATCGCCCCAAGTTATGCTTAAACAAAATATGTTTTTCCTGTGTTCTTTCTATAACTTTTATTTTTTATTATCTTTTAATAATTCTCTTTAACAAAAAAAAAATAAATTTTGATAATAACTTTTTAAAGGTCAAATCAAATTCTAAAATCAAAACATGGAAATTTTTTTTTCTTTCTTATAAATTTAAAAAGAAAAGATATACTTAGATATTTTTTCATCCAGTTCCAAAAGAAGAACCTAACAAAAAAACAAAAATAATTTTAGACAATATATTTTCAGTGATAATTAAATATTATTATCATTATTAAGTTATAATAATAACAAAAAAGAAAAAAGTAGAAAAATACAAAAAAATAATTTTTTTCTGTGTAAATTATTTTAATATAGAAAAATTCAATATGGGAAAAAAACCATTAAAAACAATTTCAAATGAATTTCAATTTTATTTTTCTATATTTTTAATGATTTATTAGCTATATTTTTGAATTGAGAGTCTCATAAAAATTGAGAGTTGTCCGCCATTTTGTTAGATTTTCTAAAATTATTTTGCAGGTTTCATACTATAATAAATTTTTAATTTTATTATGCTCTTAAATTTATTGAATATTAAAGGTGAATTGAAATTTATGATTGTCATGTTATTAAAAATATTCTAAAATTATTCAATATATATACATGTAGGTAATAAATTATAAGTATGTACATACATATATAGAAAAATTTCAATATTAAAATTCAAAAATTTAATAATAATTTTTCAATAAGTTAATTTTTATAAAATTAATTTTTCATTAAAATTCTGAACAATTTTTAAGTATAAATAAATAGAAAATTTTTGTTGTATGTTGTGATGCAAAACCATTAAATGGGAGAGGGTTCAAATTGTCTAAATATATATGTATATATTATATGCATACATTTATATTATTGAAACAATTTAATATTGTTTTCCAAAATTGTAATCGATAACGAATGGCTGATTAAAGATTTCGAAACGAGAGATGGAACTAAAAGGCGACGAATCACATATAGTTTCACCAATAAATTTAACAGATTCCAAACATAATATTAACTGCTCACTGTACGTATTCCTATAATAAACTGTAAATGCACCCTTGTATACAAAGAAGCAACACCAACGTGTTTATTTTATTTTTAAATTTCTTATAGCAAAATAAAGAAAGAAAATCTTATCATACTAGTATATGGAACAGATGAGTGACGAAGTCAAAGAAACGAGTTAAAATAGAAAAATTTTAAAAATTCCTTTCCTTATACGGGATTAAACCAGTGACCTGTCATTCTCTCTAGGCGGGACTTCTGCCAAACGTATTTATAATTACTCTTTGCAAGCATTTAATCGTTTACTTTAGACGCGTTGCTCAAAAATTATAATTATTAGATTTTCTTAAACTATATTGTAAACAATGTTTTTCAAATAAATAAGAATATTATTACCGTTGTGTAGTTACACATTTTCCAATTCAAATTGTTTGTAAAACACGTGTCCCCTGTATATATCCGTTATCATTTACAGTAGTTCTTCAGTATTATTCAAAATTTCACTGCTTTACTATAAATTTATTTATTGTTAAATATAAATATTTCAATTTTATTTATACATATAATATTATCTATCATGAATACATGCCCGATTCTTAACAAATTTTTATCAAAATTTAATTAAAATTCCAATGAACCTTCGCAATTAAAATCAATTAAATTTTATAACAAAATTTTTTAATAGAATGTTCATGGAATATGAATAAGGAATTGTTATACAAGAAAAATCTTAAACAAAATAAAGTAGTATAAAAATAAGAAAAAAAAACTTTTAGTCGAAAATCAGGAAGAAATTAAGGTTAATATGACCACAATTCAATCTTTGAATTAAAAAAATTTCCGTTTAAATTCAACCAATGGAAGGAGAGATATATATTGTTAATTGAGACCCAATAATATAGATTTATGTGGTTGAAATACGAAAACTGTTATTAATAAATTGGAAAATCGTAGTTCAAGTAAAATGTTATTGAATTTTTCACAATTTAGTAGTGAAGTAATTAAAAATTTTTTCTTTTCGCTAATTCTTATAATCATAAAAATGAAAACCGGGGCTAAGGATAAATGAAAAATATTGCGAACCAAAGGAAATATAAAGTTTTATTTTGTGGCCACAAATCGTTAATTAAAAAAGGCAATGAATGCGCAAATGTTTATTAACTATTCATTAAACTATAGGGACTAGGGAAAAGAGTATTTAGTCAAAAAATATGGTTTTTGAGGTGTCAAGGCTGTGTCAAGCAGCTGTATAAGGTGTTTTACAGAAAGTTTAGCTTTATCTATTTTATTCTGGAAAATAATTTGGATTTTGCAGCTTCATTTTTTTTTAAAAGTTTTCCATAGTTTTCTTGAAATAATTTTTTTTTTGTTTTAGTTTATACACTTTTGATATAACACACGCGATAAAGACCTTTAATAAAAATTTTATATATGAGTTTCTTTATTATTAAATCAAGTTTATTTTTTCCAATTATTTTTTTACCTATAAAATGAGAGAAACCAAAAATTAATACGAAAAAGAAAAAATAAAATAAAGGTTCCCGTCTTATTAAAAATGAATATCTTTAATTGCTTAATTTCATCAAAATTCCAGGATAACAATATGAAATTGCTTTTAAACCTAATTACACACTTATCAGAACAAATTCCCTTTATTTTTATCAACGTAAAAAAGAAATAATAATTTAAAGTGCAAAACTCATAAACTATTAAAAATCATAAAAATAAAAATTTTCCACCTCTTCTTTTACTAAAATGCGACTTCTAAAATGAAAAAAAAAAAATTAAAAAAAGATAAAAAACAATATTTCATCTTTAAAACAAAATTCAAAATCAATTCACAATAAATCACAAGAAGTAGGTATATTGTGGCCACAATATCATGATTAGGTATTCATTGATTTCAAGTGAAACCGCAAAAGAAGTAAGTATCGAAATATATACAAAAAAGAGAACAGAAGAATTCAATAAAAATCACCTCGTAAAAATCAATCACTTTTTTTACGAGAATCGATTTATTTTTTTTTCTTTTAACTTCATATTTTGTTGTTGTGTCTCTTTTTTGGTGAATCCCTCTGTTTAAAATATTATTGGGTATATTCTCATACCTCATTATTATCTCGTTTCAAAAACAAAAAAATTTTTTTTTTGTAATTCGCCCCTATATATTTTTGGTCTGTCTTGAATTGAATTTTAACCATCTGTAAATTATGTTTTCTTAGTATTATAGAATGTGGTTGAATATTGCGGTCTGTAAAGAATTTTCTTTAGTGTGATAAGAATAAGAGCAACGGAATTTTGATTATACTACTACTGCCACTCTATAATATTGGCAATTTTCGACTTTTGACATTGTTACAATATTGTTCAAATTATTAAAGTATTTCTATATCGATTTTCATAAATTTCCAATAATATTTAACGCAATTAAAACTACCATTTTACTAACATTTGGGCATTTTTAATTAAAAATTTTTTTTATAACACTATGTTCTGACAATATTTTATTTAAAAGTATCCACTTACTAAAAATTTAGTTCATGTTTTAAAATACTGTCATGCGGGGCGGGACGGAACGAAGACGATAATGCATTATGTGATTACGATATTCGTACAATTTAATTTATAATTTGAATTCAAAAACAATTATTCCTACACAAATAAAAATTTCCTTTAAATTATTACAAGAACTCTTTTAAAAATAAATAAAGAATTAACTCGGAAAGGAAATGAATTTATCACTGAATTGCTATTAAATAGTTCATAACTTCCGTATTAACTTCACGGGGCATCAACCACAAACATATTTTTTAATTATTTTAACATTTTCTTCTCTGTATTAACATAAAAACTCATCAAAAAAATTTGAATTTTTAAAGAAATTCCAATATTTTAATATTATTATTTTTATTATCAAAATATTTTTTTTTAAAATGATTTCCTTTCAAATAAATTTTCTTTTCTCTTCATTTTTTTTTTCATTTGATAATCAGGTCGAGGTTCTGATTCAAGTGATACGGAATCAGAACCAGGTATACCATTAAAAAGGAAACAGAGACGTTCAAGAACAACATTTACAGCAGAACAGTTGGAAGCATTAGAAAGAGCATTTAGTCGTACACAATATCCGGATGTTTATACAAGAGAAGAATTAGCACAAACAACAGGTTTAACTGAAGCAAGAATACAAGTATGGTTTAGTAATCGTCGTGCACGTTTACGTAAACATTCTGGTTCAAATGGTGGTTTAGTTGGTCATGGTGGCGGTAGTCTTAGTAGTGGCGCAGCTGGTAGTATGGTTAGTGCAATGGGACCACCATTAACAGCAATTGGTGGTCTTCCAATAACATCAATGACACAATATTCAGCAACAACACCAAGTAGTGATAATCATCCACATCATCAAATGCATCATGGTTATAGTGATTTAGTTACACCGCCACAGCATGGTTTCACTGCTACCGGATTTCATCATCAACATTCACATTTTACCGGACAAAATTATTATCATCAAGGTGAGGCATTAGGTAAAATTTTTATAATAAATTTTACTTTGATTATTGATTTTTGTTTTATTTTTTTTATTATTATATTGAAATTTATTTAAGATTTCCGATTTATTTTTATGCATTTTTAATAAATTGTTTTATAATAGATGATTTTTTAACAAAAGATCTCAAATATTTTGATTAATTGTTGTACATAAATAATAAAGAATAATAATTCTACTATATTTTTCTATTCATTTACAGATTATTCAAAATTAAGTATGGATGATTTTACAAAATTAACAGCTGAAAGTGTTTCAAAAATGGCACCAGCATTACCAACATCATCTGATGGTAGTAATCCATATTCAACAAAATTGGATAATTCAAATTGGTCACAAACTTATGGTTCTTTGCATGCAGCAAATCATCAAAATGCAATGGCTGCAGCAGCCTATGTTAATGATTATCATACAAGTACAAATTTACAAGCACAATCTGCTGCTGCTGCAGCTGCAGTTGCTGCCGTTGTACATAGTGGTAATCCATATAATACACAAACGGGAACTGCAATAGCAAGTGGTGTTGCTGGTCAAAATCAAAAATATTGGACATAGCAATCAATTCATATGTAAAATACAAAAAAACAATACACTTTTTAATTGTAATAATTATTTATTAAAAAAAAAAAAATTAAAAAATAAATTTACCCTATTAATAATTAAATATTACTTTTAATTTAAAAAATTTCACCTTGATTTCTAAAATAATCGTAAAGTAAATAAAACAAAAATTAGTTGAATTAAAAAAAAAAAATTTACTTTTAGTTTAATTTCAAATTTAAATAATACAAAAAAACAAATAATGCACATAATTTAATTCATTTAAAATTCTAGGAAAAATTAATAAATTTATATAAATTATATATTAAATTAGTGTAGGAAATATATATTATAAGAATGTAATAGTAAATAAATTTTGTACAAATAACAATTATAAAAATTGCCTGCTATTTTATTAATTTCATTAATTTGATCATGCCTTCCGAATCCATAACGTTTCATATCCTTAAAATGGCTGTTAAATCTTTCATCAAAATCATAAAGCGAAAATTTCGATGTAATACTCACTTTTACGCTAAGACGTCGTATATTTCAACACATATTATAAAAATTGTCAGCTGTAAATTCGTTATATTAAAAAAGAAACTAAACGTTATACAAATAATTATAAATTTCCATTTAGGATCTCTCGATCAAATTCACTAACTAATATTTAAGCCGTACTCGATAATTCATGAGGAAATATGAGTTCTAATACGAGATTTGTAAATAAGTTCAAATTAGTTCAGACACAAATGCAAGTTTAAGCTATCAACGAAAACTTAATCAGAAAAAGTTGAAACTGGAAAATTTATAATTCCTGTTAAAATAGAAGTTTTATATTAGCTGTTATTAAAAATTATTAAAATCATTTACTTATAAGCTCATATTCCATTATAAACATATACAACAAGTACGTATAAATACGGACACCTAATGAAATTGTAATATGTGAGACATAATTGTAATATATAAAAGAAATTTTTGACTGACATCTTACAGTACACACACGGAATTACGTGTTATATTACGGAACACGGAGATCTAAATCTGTGCTTGTGAGTGTTTAAAAACTATGGCCCAGCAACAAGAGAAGCTATAAACTATAGTATAATTGATGATTGATATAGTATAATTTGGTACATTTTTGATGATTGGAAATAAAACACAATTTTTAATATTTGCAGAGATATTTTTTATAATTAAATACTTGTATATTTCCACCATTTTTTTTTTAATTAATTTTATTTAAATCTTGTTTTTTTTTTTGTATTTTGATTTAATTCATTTAGATATGATTTGATCGAACATTTTACATAAAATAATTTAAATATATAAGATTTTTTAATTTTTAGCGATTTTTATTATTTTGTTTTACATAGTAGCCTATGTACATATACTTATTTTTGTTTTGTTTTTATATATTAATACATTTAATTTGTATGTATGTAAATTTCAAAAAAATAAAATTATTTAGCTTTCTTCTTCAAAATATATTATATAATTTACATAAATTATTATTTTATTTTTTTCAAAATATAATTTAATTTTTTTAAAGCTTTTACAATATACAAAAACAAAAAAATACATCTTAAGCTATAATCGAATCCTCTTTCATAGTTTTTCAGTTTTTGGGGGCAAAGAAATAGAAGACAATTTAAAGACTTCCGTACATTTTTCTTTACATTTAATATCAAAAAGATACCAAGGAACTATATAAAGCGAAAATTTTAATTGCATAATTTTAAAGTTTTATATTGTTTATACTTTAATATTTACAATATACATAAATAGTGTTATTTGTAACACCCTGTATTAATCGAACAATTGAAATCGTAATTAAAATTTGTTCTTCAATAATATTGAAATTCAGTTTTACTAATAAATTAAATCTTACAAAGAATTAACAAAACTGCTGTGATATAAAGGGTAACACTGTTGTAATAAAAAAATATATGAAATATTAATTAAATTTTTGTGATTATCTGTTAAAAAAATTTAATTATTTTAAGAGCATTCTTAAAATACAAATATTCATAAATGATTTTCAAACAAAATTATAACAAATTTTAAAGTTAATTAAGTATAAAAGTATGATGTTATAAAATTACACTAATTGCACTAAATCGTAGAATTCTCACCAAATATACAAAATTTTAAATATATTTTAATATTTAATATGAAACCGTAACTTTAATAATATTTATTATTATAATTAATATATTAATTGTAAATTAATAGGAAATTACTGAAATTTATTTTATTGTATGCAAAAATTACTTTTTAATATGGAATATTGTCTATGGGATCGAAGAGACACTGACATATTAGAGAGCTGATGACATTTTCATGAATAAAAAATTATATAATTTATATGTATGTGGGTATGTGAAATTCTGTTAATAATAAGTGTGTGTGTGTGTGTGCAGAGTCGGTTAATTTTTGGAAACCGCGTATAGAGCGCGGACAAGTCAGTGCGGAGATTGTACATATACAAAGAATAAATTTTAGATTTTAACAAATGGATTTGATTTTAAAATATGTTTTATTTTAATAACAATACAGGGTGTTTTTGCATGTATATATATATATATACATAGAATATAGAAAAATCAATTAAAAGAAGTGTAATAATAGGATTTTGTTCTTATTTTTATACAAAATTTCAAATTTGTTTTCTTCTATTTTCAATCAATTTTAATTAAATTTATTGTCAAAATTTTTGAAAACATTTTATATGAATTACTTTATTATTATTGAGTTTTCTTTTTCAACCATATAATAGCTATGTATTTTTAATTAATTATTATTTGTCAATATTTATTGATTTAGATTTTATGATTCCTTTTCTTTTTTCAAAGTTTTATTTTTTAAAATTATTGTCATATTTGCAGTGTGAATACAATTTTTGTCTTTTTGTTTTTTCATTGTCTAAATACTTGAAATGTTTTCTTTTTTTTTTTATTATTATTTTACAATTTATTTTTTTATATTTCATTATTATCATAATAATAACATGCATTGTATATATATATAGATATTTTAAAAATAAAAATTAATTATAATATAAATATTTATTTAGTCTATACATTTAATTTTATGTATGTATATAAATTTCATGTACTATTATAATACATACTTTATATTTTACAATTTAATTTATTATGAAAAACGAATAAAAATAATAATAATAATTATTATTTATTATAAAATTTATTGTCAGGAAATTTTTATTTAATTTTTATATATGTATATACCATAAATCACCAGCCTTAAAAATTCTTATTTATTTATAATTATTATTTTAGAAATAAAAAAAAATTCTTGATTTATGGTATTTTAATAATAAATATATTAATTTGTATATAAATTTTATAGATTTATAATAGAAATATAATTCGAAAAAAATTGCAAAAAATTATTATTATTATTGTATAGCAAATGAAACCAATGGTGTATATATATATATATATATATATATGTATAAGAAATTGAGTTAGATTTTTTAATGTTTGAAATTAAATAAACAAAAATGCAATGTTTTAAAACAGCTTCATAGCAAAACAAAATTATATACTTTAATATTTTATTATTAAAATTTTAATTATTAAAATATTTTTTAATTAATATTATAATTATTATATTAAAGTTCACAATTAAAATTAATAAAAACTTTATTAATTATTAAAAAATTTTATTAAACATATTAGAAATTAAATTTTTTAATAACATCTGTATTTAATAACATATTAATATTTAATTAACGCAACACTGCTAATTTCTGAAATCATGCAAGTATTGCATCATAATTTTACTCTCTCATACTTAAATATATTAAAGCAAAAAATAATATTTAATGAGAATAATTCTGCTTTCTTATTTCCCGAATTAAAAAAAATTACCTTTATATTAAAATTTTAATAATTTTGCAATTTTTTTGAATTTTTCATTTTGTATAATTTTAAATGTTATAGATTGTATATTGAAAGTTAGTGCAATTTTTAACAAGTGTTATACTTCATTTTAATGCAAAATCAAATGAAAAACTCAAAAAATAAATAACAAAATATATGACTATATGTATTTATATATATTTATAATTATATAAACTGTATAATATATGTATAAATTTTAAAATAGAATTAAATATTTAATTACACTATTTATAATTTATTCTTTTCAGTTTTTTTATTTCCAGTTTTCCTCAAATTATAAATTGTTTATTAAATTCAAAATATTTTTCTCTGATATGGAATTAATTTTTTTTTTCGTACATTAAACGATATGCATAAATGTCCTTGTAATGGAATATTATCATATGTAATTATATTTCTGCTGTTTTTTTTTTTTTTTTCAATTTTTATTCCTTTGATATGATTTATTTTATAAAATAGTTTTATTTCTTAATTAAAATTTTCATTTTCTTTGTGTCTTTAGAGTATGTAATTGTAGTATATTTGCGTATTTTTTATAATACGTATGTAAAAAGAAAATAGTGTTATTACTCATTTTAAATAAAAACCTATAGCATTTTATCGCATCTCACTTTACTATTGCATTGATTTAATATTGTGTCATGTAAGCTCTAATTGACATATTTATAGTTCACAAAGTAAAGACTATATAACATGAGCGCATCGTGACAGTATCAAATTAAATTTATTGTAGTCAGTAATTTTACTCAATTAATATTAAACTGTGTTCATTTCTCTTATGACAAATTTTCTCATTTTAATTTTATAAGAGAATTGGTGTTGCTATCATAACGATTGACTCTTTCCATATTATAACATTTTAAGTCGATGTTAATACCTATATAAATAATCCTGTTTCACTGTCTTGTTAAAACATTGTTATATAGAGATTGTAATATGCTTTAAGTTTATATTTAAATTGAGTATAAATTAATTTATAAATTTTATAATAGAATAAAAATTTTTGATTTTGAAAAAGTTTAAAATACACCACTTAAAGTATTTAAATATTAAAAAAAATTTTGTTCATTATGATATTATAGATTATAATATAATTTTTCTCTGTATTTAAATTAATAATTTTTTTTTTAATTTTTTCTTTTACTTTATATGTAAAATTACTACAACTATTATAATTTCTGTATATAATACTAATAAAATATTATCTAATATTCTTTAATTACATAATATTTTATTTTATATAATTTTATGTTTTTTTGTTGTTTTTTTTTTTTTTTGTAAAATCATATACACCTGGAAGTTTACAATGATATTTTTATTATTACAATAATGATTTTGAGTTTTTTCTTTTAAATTTTTATATAAGTTCTTATTTTCAATAATTTATTAATTATTGATATTAACTTTATTTTAAAATACATTCAATAGCAATTATTATAATTATATTATATATTACATATGTTATGTAAAGGGATAAATAATATGAAATCGAAAGTGATTCACAGAATATGAAACTCTTGAATTGAAATTAATAAATTGTAATTATATAAAATAATTTAAGTTCATTTTGTTAAAACAATGAATGAGCCAGACTCCGAGTAGAGTGAACCAGCAAATGTATTCCGTTTGTCAGTTCATGTTAATGTCGGAGCACATTAACATGTACTGTTCTACAAACTTAATTTCCTTGTTGAATTCCAATTTGTTATTATGTGTTGACCAAGAGCTTATTTATTTAATTTATCAATAAAATTAAAATAAAGTGAAATTTCATAATTTTTCAATGACGACGAATTCAACGAAATTTCACGATTTTTATCAACGCATAGATTATTGTGAACAGCTATTCTATAGGTATAATATTGTCAACTATTAACTCTTGAAATTATAATTGCGTTATACAATAGAAATTTGGCGAGAAACAAGCAAAATGTGGACATAATAATAGAATTAATTAGTGCATAAAATCTGTGAATCATAATTGTGATTTTATTCCGTAAGAACGGCATAGTTATAAAGTTTTTCTATTATTTAATTTTATAATATATTTACTATGTATATGGTATATGTGCACAATTTCTCCTTTTTTTTTTCAATTTATATGTATTTAGTGTTTATATATTTTTTACATTAAATATGTATATGTCTGTATATAATTAATATTATTGTCGCAATTATTTTTGAATAAGTCTTTCGAAAAAACAAAAATAGATTATATATATATATATATATGTATGTATTATAGTAAAAATTTAAGTTTTACATTATGTCCTTTTAATAATATTTATTGTAAATTTTTATGATCAAATACATATAATATAATAAATTATTATCTATACAGCTACATAAATATAATATAGATATTCATAAATGTATTAGTGTTTTGTATATACATATATAAATATAGTATTGTCTTAGTATTTAATTAAAGCATCTAACATCAAATTTAAACGTTGGCTACATTGAATTTCATCACTGTTGTTATTATCATTGTTGCTGTTATTGTTAATTTTATTCTTATTGTTATTATTATTATTCAATGAGTTATTTTCACTTAAATTATATAAATAATTTATAAATTCATCATTATAATTATTATCATTATTATTGTCATCATTTATATTTTTATTATTATTATTATTATTATTTTTATTATATTGATGTTCAGTAATATGTTGTGGGTCGTAAACTTCTCCAGTGTAATGCTGTAAGTCTTGGTGGTGTACCCCATCTAGATAATCCAGTTGATGTTGGTGATTTCCAGCTAATTGTATTGGAATAGTCTTGATTGTTGTAATCGCATCGTCTACAAACGGCCGCTGTGGGTTGTAGTAGTCGCTCTTGTTGGGGGTAATATCCGGCCTTAATATTTATTTTATTATTAATGGAAAATAGAATAAAATGAAAAAAAATAAAAGATTAAAATAAAAAAATTCTTTTGATTTTTAATATTTGGGAATTTTTTTTTTTATCATTGTTTTTATATTTTCGTCATAAATTCTCGTTTGAAATGAGCTTTTAGAATGGAATCTAATAAAGAACATTAATTACACATTAATTGTAATTTATAAAAATTACACATAAAAAGTACAATTACAAAAATATATATTTTAACAACAATTTTTTGTAAAAAAAAAAACAATTTTTACAAATTTTAAAATTGAATCAAATTCATGCCGAAATATGCTTAATATTTATAATAAGAAAGTAGGAAAAATTATGAAAGAAATTTAACTAGATTAATGTTATTTTACAAAAATTTGAAATCTTTAATTAAACAATTTAATAATATTTAAATAGTTTTACTTAAAAAGTTTAAAGATATTATTAAACCTATTCCGATAATAAAATATTCAATATAAAAACTAATTCACCAAGGAGGTGAAATATTTTTGGACTACTTTAATATAAAGTAAAATTTAAAAAACATGTATAGGCTTTACCATTTAATCAATAATTGGATATGATTGCAGAAAAATAATATAAGTTTTTAATTGATTTTTGAGAGTGAGGTAGCAATCATTTTCTTTAAGTTATTTTCATTTCTTAAACTATCCAATTGATCTTATAAAATAAACTTTTGACCCTTACTTTCAACATTTCTGAAATTTTATCAAACTTAGTAAAAAAATTATTTTAAATTTTGTGTAGGTCTGTATCCTAACAATAAAATAATTGAAAAACATGTTTCGTTAAGATAAAAATTAGCCCTCAAGTTAAAAGGTTTTTTTCTTAAAATGTTAAACCTATTGCAATAGAATTTCTAACGCAAAACTAAGAATAAGCAAAAAAAGAAATGTTCCTTACAAAATTGAATTTCATAGAGTAGCTTGGCAAAGCAAATTTCATAAAAATTTTTATTATTATTTTTTAGGGTTAGGTAGGCGAATCAAGGAGTCGGAGTTGAGTCAAAGAGTCGAAGTCGAGTCACGGAGTCAGAGTCAAAATATGAGCCAAAATTGGAGTCATATCCAAATTAGGAATTATTGGATCCAAATTACAGCTGGGATCGAAGTTCAAGCCAAGGAGTCAAAGTTGAGTTTCAATTTTTACCCATCACTTAGTTGAGGTCAGAAAGTTTAATGTATTCGAACACTAGAAGACAATTGAAAATTAAATAAGATTTTTCTTAACAACTGCTTTATACTCAGGACTTCGATCATAAGATTTATTCTATGAAAAATTCGTCAATATTTTATACAAAAAAAAAAATTGCAAAATTTAACTTCTTGAACACGGTCGGGTTCTTCATTTTTCCTATATATTAATTGTCAAACACATTCACGTGTAACACACGTGCAATGACTTCTAAGAAAGAAATTTCTAAGAATAACCATTTTATTACTTATTTATCCGCTCTTCAATCAATTTTAATCAATAGATTATTATTTATACAGTCGACAATCAAGTAAAATATGCCATCAAGATTTCAAAATATGAAAGAAAATTCATAATATGTGGTCTTTTAAAGATTATATTTGAAATAATCAAAAAAAAAATTAACAGAAAAGGATTTTGTATTTTTTTCTCTTTATATACATTTAAAGGACACACAATCGATACATGCTCAAAATACTAAATAATATACTAATGAAAGAAAGAAAGAAAAATAATAATTGAAAAGTAAAATAAACTGAAAAAATAATGAAAACAAAATAAAAACATTTCTTTTTGTTAAAAAATTTGGATCTAATATTAAAAAATATACTCAAAATATTCCTAATATAATACGAATATCCTTTATATATATCCTCTACATAATCAAACAATACTACAAGAATAATAAAATTTTCATATTCAATCATTTTAATAAAAGATAAATCGAAAAATTTAATAAAAGAAATTTGAAAAAAAAAAATTAAAATTGAATAAAATTTTTATCTTTTCTTTAAAATTTCAAAAATTTTTCTTTGTTTTAACTTTATAACAAAAGGACACTTACAATTCAGTTAACAATTATTATATATAGAAAAAAAAAAGTTCTTTCAAACAATTTACACAAGAACAAAAAGAATGAAGGAAAAAATTTCTTAATAAAAATTTTCTATTTCTACAACGTTTAAACTTATAAAAAGAAAAAGCATCTGAATTTTTTTTTTTTGAAATTTTTGGCGGCCCAATTTCTTGAAATTTTGTCGTAGGAAAAAAATAGAACTGAAAATAGAATTATAGATTTCCTTTTTGTATTGTTTAATATTATTGTTGACTATAGTTATGTGTATACGGTTTTATAGTTATAATATTGTTTACCCTATATATAAATATATTTTTTTTTTTAATATACAAAAGTTTGTTTTGTTTTTGATATGAAATAAATTTTACTACTGATAAAATTTTTATTAATTATTTAAAAATATTTATTTGGAAAATTGCAATTATTATCCGGCCTTTCATGATTTACGTTCGTAAGTCTGAAATTCAGGAAGTTACGAGTATTATTTTGTCAATTCTGATTTAATAAAATTCTGCTCCGAATATTCGTTATAGAATAATCATAAATTACATTCATAATGAAAATAACCCCTAAAAGTCTACGAAAGAAATAATCACACGTTACAGGCAGTTTAAGGAGAGTAATTTTTTTAAATTTTCAAGTTTTGAATTTTTTGTTTTGAGTTTAAGTTCTTCCCACAATTACCATGAACGGAAGTGAATTCATATTTGCTAAAAAAATTTTTTAATTTTTCAAAAATATTCAAAATCTAAAAAAAACTGCAAAACTTCGCTATTAAAAAATATCCTTTTTTATGAAAGTTGTTTACTCAAATAGCAACAAAAAAATATTAATAAACATTTTTAACAATTGAAATAAAGTACCCATTTTGAAACTTCGAAAAAATGGTGCTGCCATTGCTGATTCACAATCTTTACGAAAAGAATTTGTGATAATTTACGGGTCCATGTTGAAGTTAAGTTCGTAATTCGTACGATTCTATGATATTAATTTTCAAAAACTCTACACACAATACAAAAAAAAAGGTCCAATTACTTTAAGCGATTATTAAAAGGAGCGGTCACAACGGTCAAAACTAAAGGCTTTTTCAGGTTGCCGTGTATATGCTGTATGTATGTGTACCCTCGAAATCCCAAAAGCGAATTTTAAAAAACGGTTTTGTAGTGTCAAATAAAAAATTTGTTATTTTTTAATAGTTTTTGAGCCTACCGGTTATCAAAAATTGCTTTCAGTTCAAACGCAGTATAGTTTACCGAAAACTTCGGAATTTTGAAGAGCTATTAAATTTTCTCTAAAGTTAATCTATTTGTCAAAAAATTTTCATTTGTCTGGTTTTGAGTAGAAGGATTTTTATAAGAGAGCAGACGGAAAAATTAAACACTTACAATATATTTTAAAAATTCTTTAGAATCTCTGAACATAAGGGTTTCTTAGTAAAAATTTTTTTTTTAATTTTTAATTGGATGAGTTTTAGAATATTTTCATAGTTAAAGTGCAACAGAGAGTATATTTAGATCTAAACAATTTATGATTGTCAAATCAGAGCAAAGATAAATTGTAAAAGGTCTGAGTTTCAACTTTAACACAAAATTTCAAATATTTTGCAGACGCAAATTAAAATCCCATCATCCCTGTGTGATTATCTATAAATTTCTATCTGTCATTAGCAATTTCAATTTCAATTTCATCAGCAGTAAAATAAAGGTAGTAAAGATATTTATATATATAGTAGTTTTGTAGTTTAATTTGATTTAAAATTTGATTTTTATCCCAAAATAAAGAAAAAAAAAAAATTTTTTTTTTTTGTTTTAATACAGCCATCACCATCCATTTATGTGTACTCAAATAAATAAAAAAAATATTTATAAATATATATATATTAAATAATAATGACATTCTATTAAAATAAAAATAATATATAAAAAAGTATAATACACAAAAAATGACAAAACTACAAGCTTTAATATCAAATCCTACTGTTCGAGACCTCGCTCTGCCCGAGCGGCTAAAACGAGCACTTCTGACTGGTCGAAAAGCTGATAGCCATCCTGACCTTGCTAGTGCTCCAATATGACGTTTTTGTTCTTGTTGGCGAAAACCATAACCATTTCCACCTATTAAACCTAAACGTGCTAACGAACCAATATTACGTTTTTCAGCTGATGGTCTAAACCAACCATTTTTTGCAAGAGATCCTGTTCAATATTTTTATTTTTGGTTTTTTGTTTTTTTGAATATTTTTAAATTTTAATTTTTTGTTTGGTGTTTTTTTAAGTAGTTTTGAATATTTATTTAAAAAAAAATGTAAATAAAAGAATTTTTATAATACCACTTGGCTGTATGAAAGACGCTTTTTTATGTAAAAAAAAATATAAAGTCAAGAATAATTTTACAAATAGATTGAAGAAATTTAAATTCTCGAGGCAGTCCTTTTGGCATTAGCTATAAAATGTGAACAGCTGGTATGTCTTTCAAAACTTATCTACACAGTCCTGCAATTTATTGGAATTTAATAAGAGAAATTTCTAAACAACATTACTCAATTATGAGCGATAAAAGAATGTGCTATCGTAACTATATTTGACTCAAAATTCTTTAGGTTTCAAAGCCCAAACCATTTCCGTTTTTCGTTTCATAATTCAATAAATTAAAATCATAATCAAATTTAAATTTATTTTCAAAATCTTGACTTTATATTTTTCATTTTTTCTCACTAAAACATTTTAAAAAAAAACTTACCCAAAAATCGTTTTTCTTCATATGGTCCACCATATAATTGATTTAATTGATTTCTTAAATCATCATAATCCATTGAATAATTTTGTATTACATCATCAGGAACTTCATAATCACCCAAATCACCATAAATATCACGTTTTTGCCTTTGTCCATGTACTGGTGAATTTTTCAATGCTGCAATATTTTTCTTCTCCGCCATATATAATGAATTTTGACGTGCTAATGATGCAATATTACGTTTTGGTGCTAAACCTAAACGTGCTAATGCTGCCAAATTTCTTTTACCATTATTCGGTAATTGAAAATCTCTTGCCAATGTACCAATATTACGTTTACCAATATAACCAGATTTTGCTAATGAACCTAAATTACGTTTATCTTCCCATTGTTGTGATTGATTATCATCATAAATTGTATCTGGTTCTTGTGTTGGTAATTGTCCATTTTTAGCTAATGTTGCAACACTTCTTTTAATATCATCATATGCATTTGATCTTAACATCATACCAGATTTAGCTAATGCACCCAAATATCTTTTACCATAACTTGGATAATTACCGGCACGAGCAAGAGAACTAACTGAACGTTTATCTTCATCAAAATAATCTGTTGATGAATCATCAATTGTTTGATATGGTATATCAGAATTTTTATTTTGTATCATATAACGTAATTGATCTCGTAATGCATTCGCCTGAAAGTATGCAATTTTTTCTTTTTTCAATGTAGAATCTGATAAAATTTTAAGTTAAACAAAATGATTATTTTAGAAGTAATTTTAAAATGCAAATAAATAAATAATTCTGCTTAAATAATTTTTTTCAAATTTGTTTTAACAACAAATATATTTAAAGCTTTTAGAGTAATCATACAAATTCATTCTATCGTGAAATAGCACTGAATTTATTGCAAAAATATTTAAATAACTGAGACAGAGGAAATCTGTTTACTCATAAATTGTTGAGTCAACTTTTAAAAATGAATTTTGTTAATATATAAAAAAAAACTATACAATCAACTCATTTAACTGAGCTCTTAAGCGCTAAACATTTTCATTTCAAAGAAACTTGATTTCTTTTCGGAAATGCGAAGTAATAAAAATTGCATTACTTAATTTTTTGAATCTTTTTATTATATAAATATTTGTTTTTTCAACAAACTGACATAGAAAAAATCTTTTATCAGTAATTTATGCAAATTTATAAATGCAAAGAAAAAAAATTCTAGAAAAGCAATAAAAATTTTATCCTTTAATATTGAAAACCTTTAATTTATATTCGAAGTATCTAAAAGTATAGTTATAAGAAAAAAGCATTTTAAAAACCGAAATGAAATACAAAAACAACTTACGTGCATTTGATAATCAGGATTTGGATTTAATATTTGCTTCACTAACGATTCCAATTCACATGCTGAAAGTCCTTTATCCTCGATACCTTGAGGTGTGACCTAAAACGATAAAAAAGGCTTGATAAATACTGCAGGCAGAATCATCAGAAGAATGAAAATGTCATAATAAAACAGTATTGGAAGAAAGCTCAATAATAGTATTGAGAAGAAAAAAAACTCTACAATAAAATCAATCAATTTCAATTGTTTCTTTTTTTATGAAAAAATTCATATAATGCGTAACGCTTTATATACAAAGATTATTTATAGATAATAGATACTATGATTGCCTTGTTATATGTAAATAAATTTTTCTATTGTTTGTTAATGTTAATTGTGTACAACATATGGGGTGACTATATGAGTTCTATGAATTTTTCAAAAAAATTCATTTCTTATTAAATTTGAATAAAATAAAATTTCATCCCAAAAGAAATAGGTTGTACGCTAAAATAGGTTGTTCAATAAGAGCGATAGAAAAAACTACAATATCAAATCTTTTCACAATAATTTTATAAAAGAAATCAATATTTCAATATTGTTGAAAACGATTTTAAGAATAGCAGGATCTTGTTTGCAATAACAACTATGTGCATGTTATGCATTTTGCCTAATAGTTTGGAAAACATTATATGCATGTTGCCTAGTTATCTATGTTGGAAAACATTAATTGTTCTTGTAAAATCTAATTTACGTATTTATATATAAGATTCAAAACTTCCAAAAATAAATATTGAAATTGATAAAATTAAATTAAAATCTTTTTTATGAACAGGTTCAAATCAATATTCAATATTATCATTCATATTTTCTTGTAAGTATCATCAAAGATTCTGCATAAATCTTTGTTTGTGTATACACACAATATGCACATAGGAAAATTGTATTATCCTTATAAACTGAAAATAGAATTAAATTTTCTAAAATATATCCTTGTATATCAAAAAAATAAAAATCTTAAATACGTAAAATACTTGTTGAGTATACCAAAATATTTCCTATACAAATGTATATAAGAAATTAGATTACTAAATTTTCCGAATTTTTAAGTCAATTAAGAATTTTTGTTTTTCCAACAAAATTTCCAAATAATTTCCTAATTGAATATGATTTTATGGTTTTATTGGTATTACAAGAACTTTTAAATTTTTAATTGATTTAAAAATCATTCTACTATTGTTATACTAGATATAATTGGTAAATTCTTTAAATTGCCGACAGGATTAAACAAAAAAAAAATACAAGAAGGCAAACTGTATAATTTTTTTCAATATTCTAAAATGTCACTTCAATATCATATACAGTACATTTTAAAGGATATAAATTTGGAAAACGAAAATCAATTCTAAATTTGATCAAAATTTACAAAATAGGTAATTGGAGGTCGAAGTAGTAATTTTCGAATTGAAAGCAAATTTATTACACTTATAAAAAATTGTTCATAGAATTAAAGATATGCCTTCAAATATCTTCATCATAATCACTCATAATTTATTTTCTGTGATAATAAACTACTTTCAGTGTTTTTTCAGTAAAATTACCATATACATGCTTAGATATTAAAACTATACTTAGTTAAATTAATATTAAAATATATTTGGTTTTATTATACAAGAAAGCCGTTTCACAGGCGTAGGCGTACCCAAAACAAAATGAGAAAAAAAATCATCGAAGAAAGTGAAATAAAATCAAAATTGCGGAGATTATTCAAATCTGAAATCTTAAACCTTAAATATATATAGGAAATATCTTATAATTTTTGTGATGAATATATGAAATTTTTCGATATTCTTCGCCTTTTAATTTTATTAAAATATTCGAAAACTTACCAAAAATAAAAAATTTTGTTTTTTTTTTTTAGTTTACACATCAATTGTTAAATATAATTGAGTTTTTATCTTAGAAATTATATTTTCTTAGAATTTAGTTTCTAAGATGCATGAATAATGGTAATAATAAATTCTCAAAAATTTTAGCGATACTTTTATACCATCATAACATTAAAATCACCATCGTATATAAAGTTTCTGCATTTCTAAAAATTCAATATTCTATTTAAATCAACTAATAATCATATTATTACTGTATTTATTTTGATATATATCTATATATACATAATATATCTACTTATATACAAAAATAAATTGAATATATAAAAAAGATTTTTCTTCATATCCTTTGGATTTTAGGTTAGGAAATTGCTTTACTGTTCTTATTTATAACACATATATGTATTTATATATAATATGTATATACATATATATATATATATATATATATATATATATATATATATATATTCAATTTTGTTTTTTATTGAAAACATATGACGTGTAATATTAATGCTCTGTCATGTGAATGTTATTCGCACTTAAAATAAGAAGAGAACATTTTTTATTACTGTTTCTATATATATGAATACGAATGAGTATAATTTGTTCTCTTTTTTACATAGAGTGTACAATAGTATATCATATGATTTTGAGCAACTTTAAATAAAGAGGTGATAAAAACTTAATGGAGAAAAAGTAAGAGGAATTTATTTTAAATATCTGATGGTGGTCAATATTATTTTGTATTAATAAAAATTTCTAAAAAAAAAAATTAATTATATTGAAAATCTCTCATAATTTTTAAAAACAAGTTTTCTTTTTCGCTTAAATAATTCTTATAATTGAATGGCTACAATTAACTAACAAAGAACATTATTCTAAATCATTCAATATAACAAAAAGAATATAAACCTTAAGATATTTTTAAAAGTTCTTTAAATTGATTTATGTCCGTAAAATTTTACATAGGCACTCTGTAAAATAATCGAAGAGGAAAACATTTTCTGTAACAAGTGATTGAAAACGCCTACATTCTCTATTTTGATTTTACATAGTTGCTTTTATAAACGATATACCAAACATATCCTTTTAACATGCTTGATAATATTTTTTTTTTATTAAAAGTTAAAATAATAGTGTAATAATTTCCATTGATCCTTTTTACTTTCAAAGGGATTTTTATATATATATATATATATATTTGATATAAATTTACATAAATGTATATGTATGTACATAGTTTAACTTCAATTTTGTATAGTGTTAAAAATTACCATTAATATTGTTTGAATCTTTCACCACATAGTAAAAAAATTTTTTAATAGTCAACATCATGTTTAATTGGATTTATTGGAAAATAAATTTTCAAATGAATAATTTTTTGTTGTCAAATCATTTTATAGTTTTGAAATTTGCTAAAAAATTTTTAGAAAATTCTATTTTTAAAAATTATATTGTGCATACACAATATTTATGTACATATACATATGTATACTAAAATTGGACATTTTTGGTAAACAAATTAAACTTTTATATTTAGGAAAAACAAGGACGTATATATTTTGAAGGTAAATTTGGACAAAATTTTTTAATAAATATTGAAGTTAAATTAAGTGTCAGCAAAAACATTAATTATAAAAATTATTTTGTATAGGGTTTATTTTCCTAATAAAACTACATTAAACAGTAAAAAAATAATTTTGTAAAAATATCATTAAATTTTTGTAAATAATTATGATAATGATGAATTGAATGAATTGTGTGATTTTAATTCAGTGCTTCTTAATTGTACCTTATGCAACGTACAGCTGAATCATTAAGATAAGATAAATATAATATTTAAAGTAAAAATATTAAAAATTAAAGAATGAATGAAGATTTTTATATATATTAAAATTGTTGCTATACATGTATACCAAAGATCCATGTAAATACCAAACATTTTTTCAGAAAATTTAAAAAAAAGATTATTAATATTGGCGGAATGTGTTCTAATCTCAAAGCTGTTAACAAGGAGATTCGGAACACATATATCAAAGAGTATTTGCATTATATTTGGTCGCCTATAAATTCAACTAAAGCAACTTATGTCAAAAAAGTGAATTTAAGTTTTATTTATTTCGAAAGAAATTTACAATTCCCTATGCTTAATAAAATGATTTTGAATATTGTAATATTAGTTACATTAAATATTTCGATTGCATGTCCAAAAAATTGTTGGAAAACTGTTATATTAGCATAATGAAATTAATTTACTTTTCTAACCTATTCTCAACTTGCTAATTAAATTTATTGCATATCCTTTTAATATACTTAATTTTGCATCTCTGTACATAGATAGAGGATATTTTTTCTTTTTTACTATTTATACGTCTGCTAAGAATTAATTATAAAAATTCATGAAAAATTTATTAGTCGTTAAAAACTCTTCGAGATTTCTTGAAATATTAATTAACATAATAATTATTACAGAAAAAAAAATATAAAAAAAAATAATTTCAATTATTACCTTCAAGTATCAGAAAATTACTTTCGTAATCTTTTCCAATGTTTTAAAACTAAAATGTAAATTTTATAGATTATGTTAAAAAGAAAAAAACCAAAAATTTATTTTAAAAATCTTTTTTTTCTTTCGTAATCATCATTACATACATATTAAATGAATCTCGTAAAAAATTTTTTAAAAATTATTTCCGTGTTTTCTTTATTATAAATATTAAATTCATACGACAATAATAAAAAATAATTTGTCATGTTGAAAATTCGCAATTAATAATTGTATGTAAAAATTTTGATAATGTAAAAAGAACCTGTGTGGCGGATGCTCTTAGTAAATTTCTTTGCAATTTCACTTCTAAGTGATTTAAAAATATTTTTTAACACAATAATGTTGAATATTTTTTAACATTTCAACCATTCCAATTTAAATCACGCGATAATTCAGGAATTTTCTAAATAAAATTTTCAAACAATTAGAATAAACCATTATGCAAGTAACGCAAATAGCACAACAGTGTCATCCCACTCAATCCATTTACTCACATTACTCACATTGAATTACAAAAGCAAAATATGAAACAATTAAACTACTTTTCTCTCTTATGATCAACTCATGGCATAAACGCCTCTACATTTATGTTTGTATTGAAAAATACCAAAAAATATTTATAATACCTACACAAAAAAAAAATATTTATTATATTTGAACAAGATATTAAAATACTAATT